CCATCCTGGAGCCCGACGTGCCCCTTCTGAAGACCCTCCTCTCCCGCCCGACCTACCTCAAGTGAGTGGGGCCCTGGGGAAGGCTTGCCAGCCCTCAGCTGGCCGTGTGGGTGAGGAGGCCGAGGAATCTCGCCGGGAAGCAGAAGATCCGCAGAACCTGAGCACGGCAAATCCCCCCGCTGCAGGGTCTTTGTCCCCGAGTACACCCAGGAACTCCGGCTGGAGCTGCAGGGGTGTGCGTCCAAAGACGGCCCCGGCTGCCCTGTGCAGCTCACGGTGGGCACAGCCGCTCTGCCCAGAAACTTCCAGAAGGTGCTGACCTGCAGCAGCCTCTCCTCCTCGTGCCACGTTCTGCTGCCCTCACCACCCTGGGGCCGGTGGCTGCAAGTGGTAGCCGAGAGCCTGGCAGAGCCACCGCTGTCCGTAGCCTTCAGTGCCGAGGCCACGCTCACAGGTGGGCCACCGGGAGCGGGGTGGAGGGTCCTGCCCAGGCCCTTGTCCAGGGTGGAGGGGTCCTGCCCGGGCCCTTGTCCAGGGTGGAGGGTCCTGCCCGGGCCCTTGTCCAGGGTGGAGGGTCCTGCCCGGGCCCTTGTCCAGGGTGGAGGGGTCCTGCCCGGGCCCTTGTCCAGGGTGGAGGGTCCTGCCCGGGCCCTTGCAGGGTGGAGGGTCCTGCCCGGGCCCTTGTCCAGGGTGGAGGGTCCTGCCCGGGCCCTTGTCCAGGGTGGAGGGTCCTGCCCGGGCCCTTGTCCAAGCTCCCCGTCCTCTCATAGCCTGCAGGCCCTGGAGGCTGACTCTACACCGGCTCGGGCAAAACAGTTCAGACCAGAGCAACAACACCTCTGCAGACCAGCTCCCACACCCCGGGCCGCGGGCCCCCGGCCCCTGTGGCCGAGAGTGCGGTGGCCCCTTGCGCCTCCTGAGCTACCCGCTCCTGAGGGAGGACCTGGACGTGCTGTCCGTGCGCTTCCAGCCCCTGGACGGGGTCATGGTGCTGCTGCGCCCGGACTTGCTCTCTGTGATGCGGCTCCACCTGGACACAGGCATGGACAGCGGGGGCTCCTTCACCGTCACCCTGAGAGCAAACAAGGTATAGGCCTGAACTAGGCTGCCTGTGAGGGGCTCCGTGCGGGCTCGGCGCGCTGGGGGACTGGCTTTGCAGGGAGCCCACGGCAGGCTGGACTTTGAGGCAACGGCAGAGTGGCGGCACCGGTCAATCTGAGCACGGATGGTGCCCCTCAGAGCAGCCCCGTCCCTGTACGCGGGCCGTTCGAGGCGCGTGTACGGGCATCAAGGGAAGTGCCAGCAGAGAGTGGCACTTGCCACCTGAGTTGGTGAACAGCAGGGCTGCCTCTAGGGGGGTGTGTGTGTGTGTGTGTGTAAGGAGCCCACTCTCACACCATTCTCCCTTCTAGACAGAGATCACGAACAGCACCCTGATAGCCGCTTGTGTGAATGCCGCTTCACCCTTCCTGCGCTTCAACGCTTCCCTCAACTGCACCACAGGTACGATGGCGGCAGCATCTGGCAGGGAGGGTGGCAGGACCTCCTGGCCCCCTCTGACACGCTGTCCCCGCCCCATGCAGCCTTCTTCCAGGGCTACCCTTTGTCTCTGAACACTCTATCTCCCACGGCCAGCCTCACCATCCCCTACCCAGAGACAGACAGCTGGTACCTCTCCCTGCAGCTTGTGTGCCCCGAGAGCCCCAGGTATGCAAACCCAGGGCTTACGTGGTGCGGGGCTGCTGGCGAGTGACTGGGTGCCCGGGCCTGGTGTTTGGGAGTGACCCCATGTCCTGCCGCCACCTTCCGTGTGTCCTTCCGTGTGAGGAGCTCTTCCCTTTCCCTCCCGCCCCCTCCCAGGGCAGACCTGACAGAGGGAAAGGCTGAGGTGGAGCGCGGCAGGGGCCTGTGTATCTGTAGCCGCTGGCAGCCCAGCCTTGTGGCCCCTTCTCTGCAGGGACTGTGAGCAGGCCCGGGTCCGCGTGGAGACCACCTTGTACCTGACACCCTGTCTGGATGACTGTGGGCCATACGGCCAGTGCCTCCTACTCCGCAGACACAGCTACGTGTATGCGGGCTGCAGCTGCAAGGCGGGTGAGTCTCGGCCGCCTTTGGCGTTCCTGCCCCACCCCCGCCAGAACCTGATGGAGTGCTCCCACAGCACAAAGCCAGGACAAATGCCGTCCCCCCCCTCAGGCCCTCCATAACCCACTCACACAGGGAGACCCGAGCCTCCCGAGCGAGCCTCCCGACCTTGGCTTGCCTCCGTGGCCAGCCCATGCCCACACATGGGCCCTCACCTGCCCAGGCCTACGCACACTTGCCCCCACGTGGCTCCATCTGTCATCATCTGCGCCCCCGCCCCCTGCCCACGCCTGCTCCCGCCTGCTGCGCCAGGCCTTGTTGCCGGCTGTCCCTTCTGTCCTGGCCTGCTCCCGCCTGAGGAAAGGGCCCCAGAGCGTCGCAGTCCCTGCCCGCATGCAGGCCTGGTCCCAGCTGCCCCGCTCAGCACCCTGGCTGTTGCGTGGCCTCCAGGCTGGCGTGGATGGAGCTGCACGGATAACGGCACGGCCCAGACGGTGGCGCAGCAGAAGGCAGCGGCGCTCCTGCTCACCCTCAGCAACCTCATGTTCCTGGCCCCCATCGCCGTGTCAGTGCACCGTGCGTTCCTGGTGGAAGCCTTCGTCTACTTGTATACCATGTTCTTCTCGACGGTAGGCCTGGTCCACGCCTCCTGGGACCGGAGGGTGGGGAGGTCCGGGCTGCCGCTCACCGCCCCGCTTTGCAGTTCTACCACGCCTGCGACCAGCCAGGGGAGGCCATGCTCTGCATCCTCAACTACGACACACTGCAGTACTGTGACTTTCTGGGCTCTGGGGCGTCCACCTGGGTCACCATCCTCTGCATGGCCCGGCTGAAGACAGTGCTGAAACACGTGAGTGGCCCCTGGGATGAGCTGAGCTCCCAGGACGCAGAGCCCACACGCAGCACGCCAGGGCTGTGGGAGAGGGAACTGGACACGGAGCCCACACGCAGCACGCCAGGGCCGCGGGAGAGGGAACCGGACACAGCCCACACGCAGCACGCCAGGGCCACGGGAGAGGGAACCACACGCAGCACGCCAGGCCGCGGGAGAGGGAACCACACGCAGCACGCCAGGGCCGCGGGAGAGGGAACCACACGCAGCACGCCAGGGCTGTGGGAGAGGGAACCGGACACAGCCCACACGCAGCACGCCAGGGCTGCGGGAGAGGGAACAGGACACAGCCCACACGCAGCACGCCAGGGCCGCAGGAGAGGGAACCACACGCAGCACGCCAGGGCCACGGGAGAGGGAACCACACGCAGCAGCCAGGCCGCAGGAGAGGGAACCACACGCAGCACGCCAGGCCGCGGGAGAGGGAACAGGAAGGGCGTTTGGCTTGAGTCTCCTAACCACCAGCTATTCTGGATGGGTCGAGTAGCTCAAGTGACAGAGGGCCCACCTAGCAGGCTCAAGGACTTCAGCTCAAATCCTAGTACCTCTTAAAAAAAGAAGAGAGAAGTCACATGGTATGTAGCTGTCACTGGAAAAAACCACCAGTAACTGTGAAGGAATAGGGCAATGAGGGGACATCAGAAGCCTGGTGGTGGGCAGAGGGAGCAAGGCTCTGCAAGGCCCTGTCCGTCTCCTTGGGAAATCCCAGCTACGCTTCTGGAATCCTGGCCCTAGGACACAACAGGGGCTTAGTGTGGCCAGTGGAAATGCTTTGTGGGACTGGTGGGCTGTGTTCTCTGTGTCTGCAGGGTCTGTTCTGAACTGCAGGCCAGGTGCTGTCCTGAAGGCACCACTGCAGTGTGTGCTGGTCAGGACCCCGTGGTGGTGGGGTTCTAGAACCTTGGGGTCCCAGAAGCACCAAGGCTGTATTCATCTGTAAGCAATACCGGGGCTTTTCTCCCAGTCCACAGAGAAGGGCAAAGTTAGCCAGCAGCTCCCCGGAGAGCAGGCAGAAGTGCCCAAGGGCCATGGCGGGTGCATGGCCGCCTGCTCCTGGTGAGTCTTGGGTTGGTATAGAGGACCCCAGCCAAACCTGGGGACACACGGCTGTCGCCATGTCTTTTCCAGATCCTGTTTGTCCTGGGCACGCTGGTCATGGCTATGTCCTTGCAGCTGGACCGCAGGGGCATCTGGAACTTGATGGGGCCCTGCCTCTTTGCCTTCGTGATCATGTCCTCCATGTGGGTAAGGAGCTAGAAAAGACAGACACTCTTGCCCAGGTTCTGGTAGAAGAGAGTCAGGACCTTTGTTCCAGCCAGGCCCCTAGTCCTGTGGAGAGGGCTGCTAAGGCCAGTAATGCATCTGAGACTGGGGTTTGAAGACTGAGGATGTGTGGCCATGTGCCCTTGAGCCCCTCACCCCATGCAGCCTACCTCATGGTTCTGGCTGTCCAGACCCAGAGGGGCCCCTGCAACCACTGGGCCTAGACAGTTGGAGGCTGCAGCCAGCCTACAGCAACGGCTGTGTCTCTGTCTGCTCCAGGTGTACCGCTGCGGGCGTCGGCGCCAATGCTACCCTACCTCGTGGCAGCGCTGGGTCTTCTACCTCTTGCCTGGCATCTCCATGGCCTCCGTGGGCATTGCCATCTACACCTCCATGATGACGAATGACAACTATTACTACACACACAGCATCTGGCACATGCTGCTGGCTGGAGGCGCCGCTTTCCTGCTGCCACCCCGGGAGGAACAGGTGGAGCCCTGGGCCTGCTCACAGAGGCTCTCCTGTCACTATCAGATCTGTAGGAATGATCGAGATGAGCTGTACGCAGTGACGTAAGGCGGCCAGCTCAGGGAACTCTGCCGCTTGGACGGACTCTTCAGCCAGGAGCCGAGTCATAGGAAGAATTGGTTCCCCACAGAATAAAGTTGTGCTGAGACTGCTTCCTCCTACAGCACAGATGGCCGCCACTCTCTCCCAGCCGCCAGCTCCGGCGTCTGCCTGCGGCTCAGCTGTTTCTACCATGGCCTCTGGAGACTACCGACACCACGTGTGGGGTGGAGCCCTGTGCTCCGTGGTCCTGGGGATGGTTAGAAGTGTGGAGGACTCCCTTTGTTTGCCTCCACTCTGTGTGAGGCTGTGACATGGGACCTACTGGGTAAGAGGCCTGGGCGCCCGCCGCCGCCGTCCCTGGCCGTGCGCTCCCTGACTGCTGGCCTGCCCGGGCCTGCCCGTCTCCCGGGGTCTCTGCCTCCGTCTCTCCTCTTCTCCTCGGTGGGAACCATACTGTGGGCCTTGTGTGGCCCCAGCTGTTGGGTTGGTCCGAGGAGCTGGAGGTGGTTCTGCCTCACCACCATCCCGGCTGCGTGCTGGGCCGGGCC